CTCCTGACCCCCTTAAGCCCTTAATTAAAAACTGTAAAGTTTAAAATTCGCTTGTTCCGCGTATTTTTTCGCTTGGTCTTACTCTTAAGTGTTCTTAAAACACATTCCCATTGTTTTCGGTCGGTTTGCGGGCGGAATTAACGGTGAATTTCGCGATTTTTCGTACGCGGATTTCGGTTCGAGATACGCCGAAACGATCGATTTTTACGCGAAACGCAACTCAAAAATGAAAAACTAAACGGTTCGTTCGGTTTCAGGTTGTGAAGGGAAGATCTCCTGCGATTTTCGACAAGTTTCACCGTTCGGTTTGCGAGTTTTGAACGAAAAGGTAATTCCCCTTAGACTCTTTAACAAAATCGGATCAGATCTGATCCAAGTGCATCTTTTGAAATTTTTCAGTTAACAATTGAGAATGGCGGGTTTCGCGATGTCCGTGTTGTTGGTGCTGTTGGTGGTGCATCCTGATGCGTCATCCGGCAGGTGTGTCGTCCAAGATGGCCGCCTGCATTGTGCGGAGGCGTGCGACACGGATGCGGTTCGTTGGCGGGTTTCGCGATGTCCGTGTTGTTGGTGCTGTTGGTGGTGCATCCTGATGCGTCATCCGGCAGGTGTGTCGTCCAAGATGGCCGCCTGCATTGTGCGGAGGCGTGCGACACGGATGTGGTTCGCGCTTCTGAATTCGGCGGCAAGATCGTCCTCACGGGCCGAGTTCTGGATTTTGGCTGCCTCGACTTCTTCGGCATAACGGTTGGTGGATGCAGACAGATTTTTTGAGCTGTGTTTCATTTTGCTTTGTTGATGCAGAAAGTCGAATTGTTGGCTCCGACTCGCTGCGAGGGGGTTTTTCGTGCTTCGTTGGTCGATCCGGCGGATCTTTGCATGACCGGGCCGATTACAACGGAGTTACCATCTTCTTCACCACTTCCCACGCATGCTTCGAGTACGCTGGCGATAGTTCCCGTTGCATCGACGGAGACGGTGACGTCAACGACCGCGGCTTCTCTCACTTCTCTTGCAACGGAGGCGCCATCTATCGTCACTTCTGGGGACACCGTGGTCACACAAGGCCCCTCGTCTGTTGGAGTTCGTGCGTTGATGACGTTCATAGCTGAAATGACAAAACAGACTACGCCTGCTCCTAGTAAGAGCTTCCATTAGGACTTTCAACGAGGTTTTTTAAACAAAAATACGTTGTTTTCTAGTGACGACCAAGCCTTCCATCATAGTTTCGGTGTTGAAAAATCTTCCGGAAACCCGACTTCACTCTGGGGATCATGCGAACGTCACGCTAACGGTAATGGAAGGGAAAGCGGTCTTGGGCGCGGAGTTTGCTACCGAGCTATTTTCTAATTGGGCCATAGGGCTAATTAGCGGCCTCGGCGTAACGGTCTTTGGATTGGCGGCTGGATGGCTTACCTGGTGTTT